GGCAAACATCATCAATGGGTGCCACATAGGTGGAGGAGGCTCATCATGTAAGATATCTATCTATTTTGTCACTGGAGGTTAGGGTTTTGGACCATGTTGAAATTCTTGGATTGTAGTTTTTGTTTTGCTTGTTAGTGCTATGTCTAATCTGCTCCAGACCCATAACTTTTTGTTTGTCTAGAGTTTCTTAAAGTAGTTGCCCTTACTTCATCCTACTACCTTCAATGTGTACAATAAACCCTTCCAATGCTAGAGCTGCCACTGAGATGTTTAGCATTTGGGAGACATTATCAGAACAGGATGCCAAGGAGGTGGAATTATTTCCCCATTGGGCCTAGGTGCTCTCCTTTCCTTTAAATTTTGAGTTGGATGGTTGGAGATTGTCGGTTGGAGATTGTATATATAAATAGATACAATTTATATAATGGTATATAATGATAAATTATATATATATGTAGCATCTTCTCTAAGCTAGAAGTCTGAGCATTCAAGGAGATGGTTGGCTGATAAGGAAGAGTCCTTCACTTTCTTCAGCTTTGCCATGGTTATTGAGGTTAGCTATAGTAACCAGGAAGGATATGTACCCACTCATGCTCATTTTGACTGTTGTAAAAGGAGCCGAAGGGCACGAAACTGGATGTCCTGGAACCTTGTAATCTTATTGCAGTAGTGAGAAGGATCTTCCCAATGTTGTTCAGTGATTCTGAGTACAAACTCTTGCCCTTTGACCCTTATAGTGACAAACTTGTATTGTGCTGGATGAAGAGTTTTTTGTACCTCCTCTTTAGCAGGGGCTAATAATAGAGATTCGTCCTTAGATCTGGGTTCACATGAATGTCTAGACTGGGTGGCCCTAAGCTAACTGCAGCACTACTAATTCCTTACTCTTTTGTTCTTTAACCTGCAACCCCATTGCCATCCATGGTCATTGACTGTAATATGGAAAGCTCAGTGCTATCCTGGAAGCTATGCATGACATCTCAAAATAGGCCTGAATTACTCCACCCTCGAAGCGATACTTCGTTTTTTTTCACTGGCTACCTTATCACTACTTTTGCATGTTACTTGGCTCTTTTCTTCACTCAGCCCTTCAGCTTTTTACACTCTTTGATGGCTCTAATTTCCTTTTTTGGGGGGGGCCCGATATAGAGAGATTACCAAAGAGAATAGGTTGAGATGACTGTGATGATTTCTATGCTCCAAAATGGATTATAGAATTAAATGAAGATGTAGAAAGCGTGCTTGCTAAATTTGCAAGCAACTTAAAGCTGGTATGTGTTAAATAATAGACATCAGAATACAAAACCCTGTTAATTATTAGAACACTGAACTGACTCCAAGAAGAACCAAAGGTGAAACTAAAGTTCTCAGAAGAATCTTATAAATTGAGAATTGTGAAGACCTAACTTGTCCTCAACGGTTTCATGAGAGGGTTAGCCAGTGTCTAACCCTGAGGTTTGGTCCCCACCACTGGTTGTTGAAGTAACAGCATTTTAAAAGGTGCCTGCCTTCTCTTGTTTTCTTTTGACTTGTCAGAGCCTTCCTTTCCTAGTGCTTATCCTAATGGCTTGTCATCAGTCTTGACAATCATTACAATATATTACCATATGATAATTGTGAAAGCACTTGGAGTGCTTCCTCTTTTTTTTTTTTTTTAATTACTACAATTTGTGGCACTGTATAGTTTTAATACAACAGGAAAAAAATATTACCCGATCTTCTATTGTGGTTAGACATCTATAATAGTGTGTCTGATTTTAGGCATCATGTTTAAGGAGTTTACTCAGAAGAGATCAGCCAAGATAGTGAGGTGTGTGGAAAGTTAATTACAAAGGAAGAAAAGAGGAAATTGGTACAGTTGGAAAAGGAACAGTTCAAATGGAAATGAAAGCAGTGGGTGGAATTGGAACCTGAAATGTTAGAAGTTTGGACTTGATTATGTTTCATCTGTATCTTAGAATGGGAGACTCTGTTTAGCTCAGACTTTATTCATGGACTCTTATAGAATCAGCCAGTGTTCTTAGTCATAGACAGATAAATACAAATGTTAATTTAATACAGAACTGTATTTTTTCTGTAGCTTTTATCATTTTAATAGACCACACTCCCATTTTCCTTTTTCCATCTAACCAAAGAGGGCAGCTTGAGGTGTAAGACAAGTTCCAACTTCTCTAGACAGTAGCTTCCAAAAATTCCAGGAACCAATACTCTTATCTCTATTTTTGTGTTCAACTATGAAAACAGACACTACCATTAAAAGCCTTTGGTTCACAATGATGTGGCAGCCATCAGAGCCTTATTAACTTTAATTGGTTGACTGCTTCTTTCCATTACTAAATCATTCTTTGAATATAAATAACAAGCCCAGAAATCCAGATCTGAAGGAAGTTTTGGGATGTGGTAGTAAAATTTGGTCTGCTACAAAAACCCACAAATATGCCGCACAGTCCACAGACCTCGATCATGGGGAAAGCTCCAGACACCATAGTTATGATGGTGGGTTGTAGAGGAGACAGATCTTTTCTTAGTGAGAATCTTAAAAGGAATCCATACAGCTCAAGACCGTTGGCCTGTAACTTATGCTTCTAGGTTGACTCTTTTTTGCACACTGGGAAGATGAAGAAATAGAGTGATATTTCAGTTCCTTTATGCCTTGATCATAATCTTATAATTACTAGCCTGTCAGTATTTTATATCCTATTCTGTTTCCATATTTTCACCATGGAAGTCTATAAATTTGTATAGAACAGTAATACAGAAAAGAACTCAGAGTAATCAGAGGCCCATGGCAATAGCATGAAAACCAGATGCCTTTGACTTGGCACAGTGAAAATTGTAGACCAATGTTGTATGCCCTTATAAATTGTTACATAATGTGATACCTTCTGTTTGCCATCGCCAGAAACTCCTGGGGTTTTAACTCTGCATTTCTGATCTTCATATTGTTATTCTGAAACACTTAGTATTCACTTTGATAAAGGAAGATGACCAGAATGTTCTCTTGAGTTTTTGAAAGTATATTTTTGTATGGACACTAATGAATATCTAACTCTTTGACACTGTTAGCTTCTGTGAGAAACAAAACTACAATTATTTATGTGGGCTGAGGTTTTCTGGAAAAGGTTTTATAGATTTAAGTGACATATAAGCTGGACCTGGAAGAAAGTCTAAATGATTAAATAGATAAAAGATTCCAGTTGATGAAGAAATGAAAGCATCACATTTCATTTTAGCTGAAGCCTTCCTAGAGATTCAAACTTTATCAATGACTGCCATACAGTTTGGAACGAGAAGCGGGGAGAGAAGAGAAATGGAGAAGAGGGGAAAGGGAGGAGACTGCAGAAAAAAGGGAAGGAAAAAAAAGTGAGCCAAAAAAGATATCTCTTAAAATTCATTTAATGAACATTTATTTAGCATCTAAATTATACCAGGCACTGGAAGGATTTTACCAGGCACTGGAAGGATTTTACAGATGAGAAAATAGTCTTAGAGAGGTTAAGTAATTTACCCACAATCCTACAGCTTATAAAAAGTTATGAAGTACTATAAGATGTGTTATCAACTGGGCTTGTGGCACATTCTCTGTCAGAGATACTCATCCCTTTGTGATGGCTCTGATACAGTTGGAATAATTGCTGTACCATTGGAATGATTCCATAGTTACAACGAGAAACCAGACAAAATGACTTGAAGAATTCCTTTCTGACTCTTTAAACTGGTTTTGCTTTTGTTATGGATGATCTTAACCAATTCTGCTTTGTTTCTTCTAATACTTAGAACTAATTCCACTAAGCTTACACAGTAAGGTTAAAGTTGTTTGATATTTGGAGAAACAGATCTCTGATTAAAGCCATGCATATTTGTTATTAGTTGTATGTTGTGCTGGCTAATTCTGACCATCTTTCTGTGAAATTACTCACACTTTGTCTGATTCTTTTCAAACAATCAAAGTTACCATCCTGACTAAAAGCCTCCCAAGGCACTTGGAAGAAAATTCAAACTTCTTAATAGTGCCTCCAAGATCTGGCATGTTTTGTTCTTACCTAGCTCTCCAGCCTCATCTTGTCCCACTTTCAACCTTCACTGGACTAGAGCCTTCAGAGTTTTCTTGTAGTTACTGGAGCATATCCAGGTCTTTGCAGCCTCGGGACTTTGGCACACACATTTCCTTTTCCTTAGAATTCTCCTTGATCCAACTTTTCAGATGACCGACGTACTTATCCTTCTTCAGGTGTCAGATTTAACATTCTTTTCTCAGAGAATCATTTTTAGACCATCCATTCTAATATTGGTCTTCCTCGTTATTTTCTCCCATAGCCTGTTGCCCTATTCTTTCATAGCATTTTGCATCTTTAAAATAGTTTACACATATTTGTTTCCTTCCTTTTAACCCCATGTCTCTCACTAGATTATAAGCTTTATGAGGACAAAGACTATGTCTATTTAGGTCTCTACTATTTACCTGACGTGGTACTGAATAGATATTTTTTAAATAAATATTGCGACCTTAAAATTGCCAAGTGCTTTGTAACTTGCAAAGAGTATTCACACATAATCTCAACTAATCTTTATAATCACTTTCTGAGATATTTCAGGCTGGGTAGATATTAATTTTCTGTTTTATGGAAGGTAAGACTTGGAGAGTTTACTGACAGCCACATTCACAAAGCTGTTGGGGTTTGGGTGGAAAGTCAGGTATTTTGCTCACTTAGACTAGTGCTTGTTCTACCAAGAGAGTAGTGGGAAATCTTTGTGGGTACAGAGCACCCAAACTGTGCTTAGGGAAGGTTCTCACAGTCCCTATGCTTATAACTGCTTACTTTTCATTTTCCTGTAAACTATCTGTGATGATTAGCTAAATTTCCCATAGTGTGATAGAAGAGAAATAGGTCCAGTTCCTTCCTGATTTATAAATACAAAAGGCAAGCTTAAAAACCACTGATTAAACTGTATGGAAGTAGAATGCATTTTAATATAGAAACTTGGTCTTACCTCTACAGGGTCAGAATGAATATATTGCTCACCTTAAGGACCAGTTGCAAGAGTTGAAGGCAAAAACCAACATGGAGAATCACTTTATGAAGAAAAATACTGAGCTGCAGATTTCTCAGACCCAGAAAAAATGTAACAAAACAGAGGAGCTCTTGCTGGAAGAGATTGAGGTAATCACTGCTATATTAGGAATGAGCCAGGTAGACGGCATTTGAGCTGTTACTCCTGATAATTACGTCAGCTAACAAAGAGGAAGGGGAGGGAGATTTTCCTGATTTTTGCTTTATTCTCCTGCAGCCCCAACATTTGAGGTTAAAAATAAAAATGGAGTGAGGACTTAACACACTTACAAGCAGAGATTCTGATGATCTGTAGCCTACATCTTCTGGTTTGTTTGTTTTTTGGTAATGATTTTGAAAGTTGGTTGTACTTTCTCCCCTTGGTCATTTTATTTTATAAAACCACTTGCCACTTCTCCTGGCAATTATAGGGAGAGGATAAAACAAGATACTTAGTAACTGCACGTTTTTGTTGCTGCTTTCCTCACACAATCAGCAGTTTTTATCCCTCCACCAAGAAATGGAAATCTAGAGAGCCAAACTTCATTCAAACCTAAATTTATAGAGACGAGAAGTCACAGTGAAAAATATCAGGGGAAAGAAACAAGGGGTAGACTCTCATGAGAGGGCTGAAGGCTAATTGGCTAAAAGAACAATAGGTAGGCAAGAGAGAGCAAACTCTGTTCAGTGTGTCATCTGTGTGCAGGAGCACTCTTTTCTCTGAGCCTCTTGCTTATTTAAAAGCTTAGTTCCCAAGTGTGGCATAAGACCATGACAGCAAACTATTTTCTTGCACTTTAGAATTTCCTTTTCTAGGGCTAACAATTGTGCTCTCAAAGCATTGTTTCTCTCCTTAAATTGACATCACTTTCCTGGTAACAAGATTATGGCCCTTTTGTTCTGGGCACTTGTATATATCTAGCACAGTACCTGACGCATAGCTCAATTAGTCCACAATGTTTGCGGACTAATCAAGTTGAGGGGAACTGAATTGCAGTTTTGGAGCAATACTGTGGAATTCAAGGGATCCTAGCTGATAAAGAAAACCTGTGTTATGGTCACAGCTATACCTCTAATCTTGAGAATTTATTTCCTGCTGGTAAGAACTCTGATCTTGGTTTATTGTTCCCACAGAAACTAAGGTTGAAAACTGAAGAAGAGAACCGGATTCATATGGAGATTGAAATGTTCCTCAAAAAGGAACAGCAGGTGAGTCACCAAAACCTTTTTATCCTCTGTAATGTTTGTGTTTCACTTATAAAACACCAAAGACAGCAAAAAAATTTTAAAGGAAGGAAACATCAACCTTTAATTCTGCCAGCCTAATGAATGAGCTGTAACCCATGTTTACCTACAAAGTTATACATCTGAATGTTTTATAAAGCTGTAATTTGAGTGTAAGTAAAATTTTGTCTTCTGCCTTTATCATTTAGCATCATATAAGAAACTGTTTTCTTCTTCTGATATTGTTTCATTGTTATAGTTTTGAAATAAAATGTATTGATTTTTAAATTATAAAAGTAACATATTCTTAGTTGAGGGAAGATTTTAAAAAATTGCCAATTGCTTTTTCACTCGGTTTTTTTTCATGTTATTACAGTCTCTTCATAAAATAATTTAAAATAGTTTTATAATGTTTCATTGAATGGTTATGCCATAGTTTACTCGTTACCTTTTATTTTGGATATTTAGGTGACAGGCATATCTCATTTTATTGTGCTCCACCTTATTGTGCTTCACACTTGTTGCATTTTTTTTGCAAATTGAAGCCAAGAAGATTAAAAATCATTTTATTGATTCTCACTTTATTGTGGTGGTCCGGAACCAAACACACAATATCTCTGAGGTTTGCCTGTATTTCCAATGCAGTAATGAAATCTTTGCCCAAATAACCGTTTTTATTCATTGCAATTATTTAACAAAAGTAAATCTCAACCATGAGATTATTATGTCAAAGAGACAGGTATTTTGTAACTCTTAATGAATAGTTCTAATACTTTCTGTTCACACTGCCATCAGCAATTATACAGGAACTAATTTCAAGGTATCTTCCACAACACTGGTCATTTTAGATATTATTAAAAGTCTGCTATTTAATGAGTTGTTTTATTTTACATTTTTTGCTTACTAATAGAATTGACCATTTTTCCATATATTTATTTGCTCATTTCTTCTTGTGTGAATTATATATGGTTAAAATGGTTTTAATTAGTACTTCCGATACTAATAACAAACCAAGCTGAGTGGAGCCTTTCAAAATATCCCTGTTGGGTGAATAAGGAAAAAATTTCCAGCTTACCCATGATATAGCCTGCCTTTGAGAAAACTAATGAATTTTCAGTAAACAATTCCAAATTTGTAGTTAAAAGAAATTCTAGATGCTATCTCACAAACGAAAAAACATCTGGTAGACTTGTAGAATCAGGGTCCTGTAACCCTGCAATTTAAGTACTGGGTATCGGTCTATGGCCATGCCACCCCGAATGTGCCCGATCTCGTCTGATCTCAGAAACTAAGCAGAGTCAGGCCTGGTTAGTACTTAGATGGGAGAGCACCTAAGAATGCCTGGTGCTGTAGACATAAAAATAAATAAATAAATGAAAATAAATAAATAAATAATAAAATAAGAATTAGGTATCGTTTTACCTATTCAAGTGTTAGACACATAGCAGATATTTGATAACAGTAGATGAGTTGCTTGATTAAGTAGATGATAGATGAATAAGTCAGTATTTCCCAGATCTTCAGCTCAATAACACAAGCAATGCATACATACTTTTTAATAAAAAATTTGGAACAGTACCGAAAAGTGAAACCTCTCTTAATCACTCACTCCATTTTTTTCTAGAGATTTCTTTCACATCTTTAAAAAAAAAATCTACTTACTTATATGTATACCTAAATACTTACATGTTTTTAGTGTTTGTTTATATTTGTCTTTTAAGTGGAATCATACTATATATATTGTTCCAGATTCTTTTTTAAAAATTTACCTTGTCTTAAAGTTTTCTATGGCAGTATAGTCACTATATAATATTTCATAGAGAGAATATACCAAAATTTAGTTAACCATTCTTCTGTCTGTGGATATTTAGGTCGTTTCCAAGTTTTGCTGTTAAAACAATGCTAAACATTCTTAGACATGTCTCCAAGTGTGTGGTATATGGAAAGGCTGTTTTTGCATATTATTTTAGTTTCCTTATGTCCTCCGATATTAGTTTTAATGGTTTTTCAGTTGATTTATTTGGGTTTTCTAGGTAGAAACTCTTATTAACTGCAGATAGTAACAATTTTATATTTTTCTTTTCATTAGTTATATGCCTATCCACTTTGTGGCTTATTTTATAGATAGAATATCAAATGTAATACTGATTAATAGTAGTGATAATGGGGCATCATTTTTTTATTCTTGGTTTTAATGGTATTTCAGTCAGTATTACACATGAGTTCATAGCCATGTCAGATTTCTCATTTGCAAGTTAGGGCGTTTACTGAGAAAGAATGGGAACCTGAAGTTTAGAAGGGGAACATCTAGATGAAGTCAAATGTAATTGACAATCTCGAACCTCCAAGTCACTCTGACCGTGCCTTGCCAGTAGAAGTAGCCTGCTCTCCTGTGTCTGAGAAAGAGTAGTCTTTTTTTTCCTGAAAATCTTGTGATAATAACTTCATCTGAGGCAGATACCTTGAAAAGGGATGTTTACTTTCAAGACCTAGCACAGTCACCCCAATTGCCACTGGGTCCATAACTAGGGTCAAATCTCAGCAAGTTTCAGGGAGACAGATAACTCAGATAATGTAACTCAGAAGAATATGGCTTACACACCAAAAGAATTACAAGATTTTGCTAATATATATTAGCAGAAACCTGGGGGACATGTGTGGGAATGGATTCTAAGAGTGTTAGATCAAGGAGGTGGAATATAACACTAGATCGGGTCAAGTTCATTGATATAGGTATACTTCCTAGAGAGTCTGGATTTAATGTGTTAGGTTGTGCAGCTAGAGGTGACTCTTAACAGTCTGTTTGGTTGTTTAACCGAAACTTGGACTCAACTGTGGCCCATATTTAATGAAGTGGGGATGCCAGAGCTTCCCTGCTGCGATATGGAGGAGAGAATCCAAAGACGTACGGAGACAGGAATATCGGAGCGAATTTATCATGTGTGGCCTACAAATCTGCCACAAAAGCTCTAAAAACATTTCCATATGACACGCCTTCCCAGAAGACACTCCATTACTAAAGACACTGAGAAATACACTAGTGAGGGGTATACCTGCATCATTGAAAAGCTCTGTGGCTGCTGGGTATTTACCCCAAAGACTTGAAAACCCATATCTGAAAAGATATTTGCACACCAATGTTCATAGTAGCATTATTCACAGTGGCCAGGACATGGAAGGAACCGAAGTGTCCTACGATAGATGATTGGCCAAAGAAACTGTAGCACATATATACAATGGACTATTATTACTCAGCCATAAGAAATACTGCCATTTGTAACAACATGGATGGACCTTGAAATAATCATACTAAGCGAAATAAGCCAGACAGAAAAAGTTGAAAATCACCTGATATCACTTATATGTGGGATATAAACCTAAAAGCAACAAATGAACAGGACAAACAAACAGAGATTCATGGACATGGATATGGACTAGTGGTTACCAAAGGAGAGAGGGGATAGGGAAAATAAAAAATAAATGTTAAAAAAATAATAATAAAAAATAAGGAAAGAAAGAAAAGAAAAGCTCTGTGGTTGCTTTCCTATACAGACCAGGTAAGACCATGGGCGATATGGGCTCCCTGATTTGAGTGAGGATGATGAGATCCTGGAGTGCCAGAGGATAAGTGGTAGCACAAGACAAGGTGGACACATTTACCATGAAGGGCAGTCAGAGGTACTGGTAATCAATGCCTTTGCCCAGTAGAGTGTTTGGCAATGGCTAATTAATCATGGTATCCCTAGGAACAAAATTGATGGGCAGCCTGATAAAGCTGTACTTGATCTATATAACAGAAAAAAGTTCAAGTCTAGTAGCCAAAAGCTTGATTTGAGTCACAACAATGAAGAGCCATAGCCTCTCATCCAGCTCCCAGAACTAAGTCCATTCACAGACCCAGAGCCCCTGGACTGAAGGGGAGAGATTCCCCTGAAGATGAACTCTGCAGCACTGCCTCAGGTGTTTACTGTGACTCTTCCTTTAAGCTTTACCTGTGGCTGTTTGTTAGAGTGACTATGCACTGGAAAAAAGAAAAGATCCAGACCTTCTGAGATTACTAAACATTGGCTCTAAATCGATGTGAATTACTGGGGACCCAAAACAACACTGTGACCTCCACTTAAAATGGAAGAATATGGTGGTCAGGTGATAGATGGAGTCTTAAGTCTGATTTACTCTTGGCCCATTTGTTCTTGGCCCCACCCTGTGGTTATTTCCCCAGTTACTGAACATATATTTGAAATAGGCATATTTGGCAACAGACAGAATTTCTGACTCATGAATGAGGGCCATTATGGTGGCAAGGGCCAAGTGAAGTCTCTGGCACTTTCCCTCCCTCCCAGGATCATAAACCATAAGCAATGCTGCATCCCTGGTGTAACTATAGGCATCAGTGTCAGCATGAAAGACTTGAAAGAAGTATAGGTAGTGATACTTGTCACACCTCCATTTAACTCAGCTGTTTGGCCTTTGCAGTTGAATGATCTTGGAGATTGTGAACTATTGTTAATATAAGCAGGTGGTTACTCCAATTGCAGCTACAGTTCCAGATGTGGCATCTTTACTGGAGAAAATCTTCAAAAGGCCACTGCACTTGGTAGGCAGCTCTTAACCTGACTAAAGCCCCTGTCTCCAAACTAGTTTGAACAGACAAACAAACAAATAAACAAACGTAAAGCACCTCTAGAAGCAGTTTGCTTTTACCTGGCATAGCCAATAGTACATCTGCAAAGTCTCACATCAGGTCTATGTGTGTTCTCTTCTCTGCCATAATATGGTCTGCAGGGATATGCTTGCTTTGACTTTCCACAAAACATTGTAGTGATCCACTGCATTTATGTTGATTTTATCTAATGAACAGGAAGTAGCAAGGATTTTAGATGCGTTAGTAATATATGAATTAGAAGTTGGGAAATAGACTCTATTTTTGTTGCCAATTCTGTATTATTATGGTCCGATTAGGTAACAGAAACCAGAACAAAAAT